GATGATGGACAGATGAAGGACAGATGAAGGACAGATGATGGACAGATGAAGGACAGATGATGGACAGATGAAGGACAGATGATGGACCGATGTAGGACCGATGAAGGACAGATGAAGGACAGATGATGGACAGATGAAGGACAGATGATGGACAGATGTAGGACAGATGATGGACAGATGATGGACAGATGTAGGAGAGATGATGGACAGATGTATGACAGATGATGGACAGATGATGGACAGATTTAGGAGAGATGATGGACAGATGATGGACAGATGATGGACAGATGTAGGAGAGATGATGGACAGATGATGGACAGATGTAGGACAGATGATGGACAGATGTAGGACAGATGATGGACAGATGTAGGATAGATGATGGACAGATGATGGACAGATGTAGGAGAGATGATGGACAGATGTAGGACAGATGATGGACAGATGATGGACAGATGATGGACAGATGTAGGACAGATGATGGACAGATGATGGACAGATGTAGGACAGATGATGGACAGATGATGGACAGATGAAGGACAGATGAAGGACAGATGATGGACAGATGATGGACAGATGAAGGACAGATGATGGACAGATGATGGACAGATGAAAGACAGATGAAAGACAGATGATGGACAGATGATGGACAGATGATGGACAGATGTAGGACAGATGATGGACAGATGATGGACAGATGATGGACAGATGTAGGACAGATGATGGACAGATGATGGACAGATGATGGACAGATGTTGGACAGATGATGGACAGATGATGGACAGATGAAGGACAGATGTAGGACAGATGATGGACAGATGTAGGACAGATGATGGACAGATGATGGACAGATGTAGGGCAGATGATGGACAGATGATGGACAGATGATGGACAGATGAAGGACAGATGTAGGACAGATGAAGGACAGATGATGGACAGATGATGGACAGATGTAGGACAGATGATGGACAGATGTAGGACAGATGATGGACAGATGATGGACAGATTTAGGAGAGATGATGGACAGATGATGGACAGATGATGGACAGATGTAGGAGAGATGATGGACAGATGTAGGACAGATGATGGACAGATGATGGACAGATGATGGACAGATGTAGGACAGATGATGGACAGATGATGGACAGATGATGGACAGATGTAGGACAGATGATGGACAGATGATGGTGGACATGATGGACAGATGATGGACAGATGAAGGACAGATGATGGACAGATGATGGACAGATGATGGACAGATGATGGACATATGTAGGACAGATGATGGACAGATTTAGGATAGATGATGGACAGATGATGGACAGATGAAGGACAGATGTAGGACAGATGATTGACAGATGTAGGACAGATGATGGACAGATGTAGGACAGATGATGGACAGATGATGGACAGATGTAGGACAGATGATGGACAGATGAAGGACAGATGAAGGACAGATGATGGACAGATGATGGACAGATGATGGACATATGTAGGACAGATGAAGGACCGATGATGGACAGATGATGGACAGATGATGGACAGATGAAGGACATATGTAGGAC